AATTAGCAAAATACAAATGCATCTAAAACTTTTGGTCTTGTATTTTAAACTGTATTCATATGTGTATCAGTATTTCATGCTTGAAATATTATCAATCTTATTCTTTATCACTTTCATCTTATTCTCATGTATATCATCATGATTGTTAAATTAATCTGAATAGATATCGTATTTGATTATCAAGCTATCTTGTTCAAATAATAATTATTATTTATTTACGTATTCTTACATTTTGATATAAGGTAAAAATTAAACATATTACAATTGAGCGACAAGAGTAGGAAGAGAGAGTCTTTTTGAGTTCATCTGAGTACAGGTATCTGTTTCATTGTACTGGGATTCCATATTGCTTGAGAATGATTTCTTTCTTTTACTTTTCAAAGATATGATCTGTTTATAGTGTCTAACTAATAGGTGGCTAGTCTAAAAGTATAATTTCGTGGCTACTGGTCATCTATAGCCACCAAAACACTGTGGTATCTACGAAAATTATTCTTCATATTATGATTGTAAGGCAATTATCCGCTATGATACCACTCTACATTATTCTAATATTTATGAAATATAGAAGATTGCGTATATTTTCAAAACAAAACATTTTGAATGAATGATTGTTATTCTGAGTCGTTCTATTACGTATTGATTACCAAACGAACAAAACGATAACAAGATGACAAGTGAATTGAACGATTTTATAACAACTATTTTGATATCTTTTGAATCATATGATAAAAAGGAACCAGAAAAAAAATCTTGAAAGATCTGACAAAGAAAAAGATTGCTGTTTTATTCTTTTTCCAGATACATTTACAGAAAAAAATGATCACATTAACAATAAGTCATCAATTATTTGCAAAGAAATATTGATGATAACAAGCTAATATGAGGTTTTATTGGTAATAGCATTAGTATTGTTGGCTTCCATAAAAAAATTTGACAATCAATCCCAGCAGTATTAAAATGTCTGATATAAAAGAGATATTATGTTCGTAAACTATACTCTCATCCGTCCCAGAAGCTCTGAAGATCACTGGGGTAATCTTTTCACGATATAGAATATATCTCCACATTTCTGAGAAACTATCGGTATTGGGCTGCCGAGAAAGTTAGAAAAGAAAATTTTCGAATAAGAAAATGCTGAAGAGAAAAATGTTGAAAATATTAACGAAAATTACGCGATATAGTGTGACTTCTCCGCATATTAGCAATACTCAAATCCATTTGAATCGCTAATCAATCTCAACCATATCTAATAAATAGTATATTTTCAAGTAGGCAAGGCGAAAACCTACGATCTTATAGGACCTTAAACACGATGATGCAGCAAAAAGAACCATCATAGCTGACAATGGTATACAGAATAAGATGGTCTTATACACAGGTTGTTTACGACAGTCGTTTGCTTTGTTATTTGCAATAAATCTATAAGAAAAAACGATTTTTTTCATTGAATTAAACTACATATAAATTGAAACCAAAAAGATTCTATATATGTTAATGCAAGAGCTTTAACTTACCATTGTCTTTAATTCATATTAAAATATAACAAAAAGAATGTTTTTCAATAATATAATTCTTAGTTCAGAAATATATCGAACTTCGTTATTCATCAAGCAACATTTAATAGAAGTTTTAATAATCAGTTTACTATTGAATAAAACCAGAAAAGTAATTAGTCGAAAAACAAATAAACTAAATAAAATCTTTTATATAAACAAAAGAAATTATTTTTTAATTTAAGTTTTGTTTCAAAAAAAATGTTCTCTTCTAAAAGTAACATATTAAACAAGTATAAATATTTTTTTTTTATCACATAGAAAATCGATAGCACACTTAATACAACATAAAGACTTACCTTTTACGAATGAATTAAGTTAAATACGAAGAAAACAACGTATGTGAAGTTAGCATCCGATTCGAGTAATTCCAGCGCCGATTCGCCCGGGAGATGTTCCAGGTTGTTCCAGGAGAGTTCCAAGTACAATTTCATTTGCTCCATCCAATGCTGAAATTCAATTTATGATATCTTGAAGCATTCGTGCAAAAATTCAAAAATACATTTTTTTCCCCATGGTACTCAGCTATACCTGGAAGTAATTCCAGCTCCGATTCGCTCAGGAAGTGTTACAGGAGAGTTCCCAGTACAATTTCATTTGCTCTATACAATGGTGAAATCAGATTCATGATAGCACAAAGCATTCACGGAAAAACTCATAAATACTGTTGTTTCCCATGGGCGATAGGTAGCTGTGGTAGAATTTTCAGCAGCCATCTGGCGCTTTGCTGTTGTAGTTATGTTGGGCTCTATGCAAAGTGGAAACCAGGGTGTGGGTGTGGGTGTGGGGTCTGATTGAAGAAATGAAGAACACCCACACCCTGGCTTCCGCTTTGCATAGAGCCCAACACAACTACAACAGCAGAGCGCTAGATGGCTGCTGAAAATTCTACCACAGCTACCTATCACCCATGGAAAGCAACAGTATTTATGAGTTTTTACGTGAATGCTTTGTGCTATCATGAATCTGATTCCACCATTCGATAAAGCAAGTCGACTTGTACTTGAAACTCTCCTGGAACAGCCTGGAACACTTCCTGGGCGAATCGGCGCTAGAATTACTCGAAGGTATACCTGAGTTCCATGGGAAAAAAAATATATTTTTGACTTTTTGCAAGAATGCTTCAAGATATTAACACTTCCTGGGCGGATCGGCGCTGGAATTACTCGAATCGGATGCTAACTTCATCTACGTAAGAAAAAAATATTAAGGACGATAAAAACACAGAATGAAGAATTGTTCTGGACAAAGTTGAAAATTTTTATAGAGAAAAACAAAAATAATTGTGTTGTATTTGTGAAAATCTTAATTAATTAGAAACTGGTTTAGACAAAATAATAAAAACAGCAGCAATTATTCGAAGTGCTGTTCCACCACCGAATATATAATAATTTCTTGATCCAACTATATCTTTGAAATATAATATCGACCAAAGTACAGCTAAGGTTGATGGTCCGGTTGATACTAATGGAAATGATATTGCTTGACTCAACACACTATTCGCAACAAGAAAACCTGCTTGTGCAATTGCCCACATAATTCCAGATATGAATGCAGGTAATATACTTTGTATACAAACATACGGACGATTGCGTTTAACAATCATATATATTATATAGTATGTAGATGATGATAAAAGAATTCCAGTATACATTGAAAATATATAATGAAGACCATTTTTTGATGCTGTTGGATATTTATCTTTTCTATGATCTTGTATATATGTACTTGGAGTAAATACAAGACCAAAAAATATTCCACTTATAATAGCTAATATACATCCAATGATACGCATTCGAATATTTATTTTAGGTGATGATGAACTATTGTTCGTAATTGAATCCTCTTCAATGAATCTATTTATTGTTGATGCATCAGTTGAGTGAAGAATTGGTTGTCGTTCTTCAATATTTTTTTCATTTTTTCCAGTACGAATAAAAAGAAAAATGAGACCACTAAGAACGCCAAGAGCAACACCAATATAATTAAACGCAGGCTTTTCGACTTTTTCTGCTATTAAACCAAACCAACCGAAATGTCCACTTGCCCATCCTATTTTATACAAATTGGAAATTATTTTTTTTTTTTGTAATTATTAAAATACTTACCCATAAATAAATTGGACGTGCACCATAATAACATAGATAAACCAAGACCATTAATAGTTATTACATATACTGAAAGAATATTTCCAGTTGTCCATAGAACTCCTCCAATTAAAACTAATGGGAAAAAAGGAGGGTTTCCAACAATTAAATTAATAATTGCACCTGTTATCCATATTCCGCAACATAAAAAGAATTGAAATGAAAGTCCATCACGTATTGGATATTTTGCTGCTGGAACAAAATTTGAACCAAAAAATATAATTGATATTAATACAGATATATAGCCAACCGATATTGGAGTTGTCGGGTCAGGCGATGGAGTGGTGGTGGAGTTGTCTATAATTGTCGCTATATTTTCTATTATCTCATCGTTGAAAATATGCATTCTCAACGCACAATTGTTTTTACTTGACCCTCTGGTCTCTGTTAGTAAATAACCAACAAGATAAGAAGTAAAATACTTTTTCTTTTACTTGTTCCTCTTTCTTACTTCACCAACCACCTTGAAAAATTTCAGTTTAAAGAATAAGTGCAGTTTGATCGTTCTCTATTGTTGTTATCTTCTTTTTGAAAGATTTCTATATCATAGTATAAAAATTGCGAGATATTCAACTTGTATTTTTCAATTGTTGATACACATTGGATGGTTACGATTGCGACTTTGTTAGAGAAAGATAAGATTTATCTTTAAGAAAAAAGAAAATTTTTTATTCGGACGATATAAACAATAGATTTCACGTTTACGAGACTATAATAGTCATGATGTGTGATAAATCAATGCTAAGATGTGTTTCAATCTTTGAGAAGGAAGTCCATAACTCTCGTTCCAACGTTCAACCAAGTCTTCTAGTTTGTGTATCATTAAATATAGACTCGGTCTCAGCTTCGACATAACTACTGAATTCGAAATCAACTTGTGAAGTGTGCAATAGGCTGCCAGAGAAAATGGTTCTTTAGTTATAATTGACGTGCCAGACATACTTTCTCATTGATATTATTTGACTGCAAGAGAGACCAAGAGTAATGCATTGCGTCAAGTATATGTAGAATTTATGACGCTCTCGTGAAATCTTCTATTAGAAAATTCAAATTCATTTCAAGTTAGAACGACGACATTGTGTCAAGAACATGTTTTAATTGTGTTTTATTAATTATAATCGTACAAAAAAAAACTAAGCTTACTGCACGATACAAGCAGTGAACATCAGACAGTAGACTAGCGGAAGGCATAGTTTTGATACATAGATAGATATCATAAGAAGGAAAATCATTAGAAAGCAGCACCTTGTTCGATCTAAATAGAGAATAGAAAGTCCGGTAATTGTTTTGTGCTCATCTGTAGATTTTGAGCACTTTTACGCTGAATATTAACTGAATTATCTTCAAATGATATGTTGTAAAAAGTTGAAACCAGATTAATATCAAGCTTACTTTTGGTGATCCATCTACAGGAGATCGAAATATTATTCGTCTACCTGTGTAAAGGCATCCTATTTTCTATACTGTGCCGGAACCACAAATATGAGAATGTTTAATTATATATTATTATGTTGTTCAGCTTGTCTAGTTTGCATACCGTTAATTTCAACAACATCTCCTCTCTTTATTTCTATTTTCTAAACAAGATGGTGCAAATTTGTTGAATATTCATTAAGAAAGATTATTTCTCCAGTTTCGGGTGAATCGTGCATCTTCAATCTATAATTAGTAATAGTGAAGTATTCTAATTTGTTTTTTGATTGTAGATCTTAAGGAGCACAATTTGCTTTCGATAGTCTGATAAAGTCAGTTAAAAGAGGGGCTCATTCGTTTCAGAATTAATCATGGCAGAAACCAAAATTGAACTGAAACTCCCGTTGAGAATAATAATTATGTCTTCGAATAACATTTCAGCGAGTTCCAGTATATAACAGAGTTGAAATTTACCAAATGGCCTTTTATTTCTCTTGCTGATCCTATTGAAAAAATTCGTCTGAGAAACAAATTCTAAAGGAAGATGAAAACCACTTTGATAGTGAGAAAGAGTGCATAAATCTGTGATAGAAAATATTGCAAAGCTATACAGTTTAAACGCCTTCCTTATTAAGACTTTTAAACTGTAACTTTGCAAACGCATCTTTTCAATAGGACTAATAAGGAAAACAAAAAGTTATTCAGTAATGCTTCAGTCTATTATATTTTCAAACCCACTGAAATGCTATTCAAAGAAAATATTTTTATTCAATACGAAACAGGGATTTCTTTTCAATTCTGATTTCTGCTTTGATTAATTTTGAAGTAAATAACGACACTCTCTTTGATCTATCAGAGTTTGTGGGGTTTCAAAACTGTGTACCACAAAACGTTCCTTCTTTAGTTAATTTTATCGGATTATTTGCAGTGAATTGAACTCCCCAAGATGCACAATCATGAATAAAATCAAAATATTTCCTTATTGCTATTTATTGATTGAAAACACACAATTCTCTGGAACCGGACAGATAATCTTTCTTTATGAAAATTCAACATAATTGCATCATCTTGTTTAGAAATAGGAAACAAAAAAGGAAACATTATTGAATATAATGGTATATAAACTAGACAAGATGAACTACATAATAGAACTCTCTAATATGTATGATTCAGACATAGCAAAGAGAATAGGATGTCTTTACGTAGTTGGAGGAACAAAATCTTGGCTCATAGTAGATACCTGAACAAGGGACGCCCAATGCCATGGTAACTAGCCAAAAACCGTCAACTAACTGTAGTTCATCTGTTTAATCTATTTTATATTTTACTGCTTGTATATCTGTAAATTTCGAGAAAATATTAGATTTAAGTTGAAATCACGCCTCCATGAAGCGACTTGATCGCGCTTATGTCACCAATACCAATTACATTGGCTGTTTTCTCCTAGTGGCTAAATCTTATTATTCATGAAAGATGACGCCACAAAAGTCCTCACTAGAAAATTGAGTTAATCAATAGGAAAAAGTATGACGGCGTCTAACAAAATATACTGTGGCATACCATGATCGACTTTTTCGAATTGCAATCGTTCTCTTCAAGGCTGCAAATATGAATTTAATATGACGCATGTATTCTATCCGAGATAGAGTACTAGATTTCGAACTTTTACAAGTTCAAAAAAGCTTCACTTTGTTTGAACATTTTGCCTATACACTATTTAGATATTATGAACTGTATGGTGGTAGGAGTTATCGAAAAATACCTACTTTAGCCTTAAAAATTTTTACAAAAGTGTGAAGTCCCAATTGTACGATTATCATATTGTTTAAACTTGGATTGTTTGTTGCGATGCCAATGCTATACTTAAAACTTACGATACAAACTGATCAAAAGCTAGCAGAAAACTACAATGCAAGCGTATTTCTCGTACGACTTCGCAAATTAGTATGACTAGGTAATATTTATTCCATTGGTATGTATGCATCTTAATTCTTGATGCAGAGTTGTGTTGAAAGATGGTTTATTTATGATCTTATTTTTTGTGGAAAATAAACAACTCAAAGTTTTCTTAAACAGCACTCAGCAAACACAGCCTTTCTCACGAAAAATGTTCTTATCCAATTTTTATTTTCTTGCAGGTTGATGTTTAACATGACAGATAAGTTTGAATTGACAAAGCATTAAGAAGAGATGAATGTTTACGTGAAATGTATTCACTGATTGAGTTGTTTGTTTTACAAGGGTTTTTTTATTTCATTCATCAACAGGAAGAAAAGAATTGTTTACATAATTTTAAAGATATATCTTTATCTTATAAAAATTTCATCACATGCACAATAGTTAATTCTCAACGACACATTTTTAAAACTTCCATTCACTTTCATAAAAAAACATATTGAAATTAGATGTAAATAATACTCTCATACTCATCTACAACCGTAAGAATAATGGTCAAATACATTTGTATTTTCATTTAGTTTCATCGAACTTATCATCAAACTCCCGTATAAAATTAATTGTAAATTTCGACATAATGCATCTAAATTTCTTTTGACTCATTTTGTTATTAATTTAACAAGTGTGTTTCAATAATTAGAACATGCAAATTACGATAGTTATCCTTGAACAGTTGACTGATTAAAATGTAATTGATTCCTCTTAAAAAAAAATTTTTCCCCAATTTTATTCATTTTGACCAAATCTAATTTATTTTTATATCAACTACACATTGCTCCTTTCTGTTCATATATTCATAAACAAAGAAATAATCTCTTTCATCACCTAAATCAATTTCTTTTATCTTTAACAACTTCAACGAAACGGAAACGTAACATAGAAAAACACCAATTGGAGAACTTCTTGAACGAAGCATACATATATATATAAATGTAGATATCACCTATGAATCAGAAGATGGTTTAATCATAACAGGATCTTCAATTCGTCGAAATACTGCCAAATATTTATCACCTTTATTTCGTTCGACTTTTTTTCCTTCTTCAGTTGAACCAACAACATGTTCAATACATGGATCATTTTTAATTAATGGATCATCATTATTTATACGTTCAAATAATGGAAATTGTTCAAAACATGAACACATCCATTCATGTAAATCTAATACATCTGTACATGTATAAACTAAACCATCAACACGTAATAAATAAGCATATTCGGCGAGTAATTGTTTATTAATTATTCTCCATTTATGTTTTGCTTTTTTAAAATGTGGATCTGGATAAAGAAAAAACATTTTTGTTAATTGTCCTTTATGAAAATAATTTGGTAAATATTTCATTGCATTTGTTCGTAAACAACTTATATTTGTATATTGTCCTGGATATTGTTCACGTAAAGCACGAATACGATCAAGAACATAATCAAGTACTTTTACACGTATTTCCATGCCAAGCATTAATTTATCAGGAAATAATGGTGAAAGTGCAACAAGTAAACCACCATAACCACAACCAATATCAACAAATTCAACCAATTGATTTTCATATTTACGTCGTTTATTAGAAACTGACGATTCATCATCATCAGTTGATTGTTCAGGAGATTTTATTATTGATGGATAATGCGATGACCAATCCATATCATCTGGTTGAATAGGATAATCAATTGAATGATCCGATAATGGATTAGAATGAGCTCGTTGTCGATAATATTTCTTTTGTGGTAATGACATCTTATCTGAAGACAAACGAAGAAAAAAAATATCAAAAATCATTTTGTTTGTTTATTCTTTTTTTTATTTTATTTTAAAATTCAAGTTTTAACATTGTTTTCATTTCTACGAACATTAAATACTGAATAAGTGAAAATGGTAAATATTTATCAAGTAGAACTGTTGATTTACTCAATGGAAGAGGAAGATTTTTTCGTATAATTAATCGTGTTATATCTTTTAATCGTCTTGGTTTTAACAAATAAAATTCAAGTTGACTGATAAATCGTTCATAATCAACAATAGCATCCATAAGACTTGTTTCATTAGTTGTTTGTTGTTGTTGATAATTACGATTTATATAAGGAAATGAGCATTGCCATGCACGACATGGTGCACCAGCATAAAGTGCCATACGAGCATGATCATATAAAGCATAATGAACAGCTCGTGTTAAATAAGTATTACCGAAATTATTTTTTAAATCAAGTCGAGTACCTTCGATAATAAGTTCATGTGCTAAAATAATCATAAAAAGCTTCATCTAATATAAAATTTAACAGAAAAAAAAGCAAAAATAAGACATACCAAGTATTAAATTACCACCATGATGTAATGTACACATAAGTGGTGTTTCAAAACAATCATCTCGATGATTGATATCACATCCAAATTGAATAAGTGTACGAATAATCTCAAGAAGATTTTCTGTTGGTTGTTCAGCTGCTTGATCACAGATAAGATGAAGTAAATTTTTACGATGCGGTGTTGTAATTACATTAATATGAGCACCTACAAATATATACACATTACTTAATTTAAAAAACAAATCATTTCTTTCTATTTGTTTACCATAATTTAATAAAAGCTGTAAGAATTCGAATTCACCATCCATTGCTGTTAAATGAACAAGTCGCATATGATGTGTATTATAAACATTGGGTGAAGCACCTGATTGTAAAAGATATCGAAAAATGTCTTTAGCAATCTAATAGAATTTGTAAAAAAAAACAGACAAATGCATATTCAATTCATATACACATACCACTAGCGTACTTCAAACAAAAAAAGATTCTCATGCTTATTTTTATATAATTGATAAGCTTCTATCAATGGAATGATTGTATAGGAACGAACAGAACAATTGACATCACAACCAAGTTCAACAAGTGTTCGAACAAAAGCAAGATCATTTCGACGAATAGCAATGATCAAAGCTGTAACTGAATGTGTATGTGGATAACCATCTATTGGAAATCCTAAAAAATACAGAATAATATTGAGGCAACTAAGTATCAAACAAAGATAATTACCATAATCATGTAATAGACGTAGAACTTTCTCTTGTTTAAATTTTGTAGCATAAGCACAAGCATCAAATTGTTGTTCCAGAAAATAATGTAACCGTTTTGGTTGATCATTTAAAAGATATTTGATCTTTTTTATCTTCCCTTGATGAATGTATGATCGTAAACGACTTAAATCAGCTTGCATTTTGTTATACGCCATGAAAAACTCAACATAAAATGAAATTTCGTATAATTCTTACTCAATGTATTTTGTTTCAGTGAAATGAAAAAAAAAAACTTTGAGTACATGAAAATTACACCAATAGAAATGAAATATATTTATGAGGAAGACATGTATGAGATGGCGCACGTACACACTATAAGAATAAGAACTTCAGTTAACGTCTACACAAATTATATGACAAAAAAAGCTAATGCTTAATATATAAGCAAGTTTATGAAATACCGTTCAATTTTACTAAATATGAAACATTGACAAGATTCAACGCCTATTCAGTAATTTTCAAAATTGTGGAATTCTTCAAATTATGAAAAATTTTTCTTGTATTCTGTTGCAAAAAAAAGTATTTCCTTTTCCAAAACAATCATTCAATGGTTAAATATGATCGAACATAAATAATAACACTAATTGTAGCAGCTATAGTAGTGAAATATCTAGTCGTAACTTTTTATGAGAGATTTACATTGCATTAAAACAGCGCGTTATCACCATGTTTTCAATCATCATTGATACTTCTACCTTTAATGTGTAATGCAAAGAAAATAAGGCTATCTAGGTTTGTCGAAGATCAGTCTCGATGAAGATAAAAAACAAAATATAAACTTAAGATTCATTCTCTCATTCTTAATAGTTTGTATATCAATGATAAAAATTCTTTATATCGAGAGAAACTTTTGTCGGAAAAAGTTTTTAAGAAACTATGATGACATGTATTTCTCATTAATATAATCGTCAGAATTTCTTAAAATGCTACTAGTGTTTCAGAAACTCTTTCTCTCAATCAAAAATTTTTCTATATAGAAAAGAAATTAATTTTTGACACGTTAGAAATATTAAGAAAAAGAAAATTATATGTTTTCAAGACTATTTACCACTTCTCTGACTGTGTGTACCATTATTTTATTTTTCTTGACTCAACGATGAGATCATTTTCTTTTCTTCTTGCTGCTTTTCATTCATTTTCATCCAATATATGTGATCGAGTTCGTTATCTACAACTCAGTTACACATTCAAGAAGAAGACTTTCTGTAAGTTTGGTGTTCAATTGAATTCCACTTCTCCATACACAAGCGTACTGGTTGAGAAAAGACAACGTTTAGCTTATAAGAGTTACAACATAACTATTTTACACTACAGATATATCTTCTTATTCCATGTATCATTATGAATAGAAGGATTACTAAAAATCACGAGTGATTCTTGTCTCTTATAAGACAACACAAACTATGAACGATCGTAGACACTTCTTGGTGACTATTACTTTAATTGCGCTTATGACATTTACACCATTGCTGATATTTCCAAAAATTTTTGATCGTTATTTTAAAATTCATAAATTTTCGCTGAAAGTTTTCTTTTTTTTGTGCCAATTAGAACCAAATTGGAGTACAGATTTTCTTTCTTATAATTATAAGGATACTAGATTCTTCAACAACAAGAAACACATTGCAGAGAGCATCGTTGAAACTGCTTGCTTTTTGACTTTTGCATAATTCATAAAGTTCCCCGAAAATGACCAATACAATATTTGATCAAACTAAATAAAATATACATTCCAATTTGATCGAAGTCAATATAAAAAGGATTGTCAGTACAATGGATCCTAGCTACTAGAAGGAAAAAAAGAAAAAATATCGATTTTACTTTTCAAAAGTTAATGTCAAGAAAAATGCAAAACATCTTGAAACATGATCTTTTGTATATATATAAAGGTTTTTATTTCTCTAACAAAATCACTATTGCTCTAAGGTAAATTTGTTAATACAATAGAGGAAAGTCACAATGAAATTTTTCTACTAGGCGTTTTCAAAATCGAGTTTCATATAATCAACTTCGCGTTTTAGAGCTATGTAAGTGGTGAAATGACTTTAACTGGCATAATCGATATATTTGATTTCATTGACTACATTAAACTCTAGAGTAAATAACTGTTAGATTCATTATATGTATACATAAATTTATAGTGTTTTGACATCCTTATCATGATTTTCGGACAATGTTATAAGTATCTTGATAATAGTGTTAACAGTCAAGAAAAACAACATTAGTATATTTATTCATATAAATGAATCGTCAATCAAAACTTCTCTATGATAAATATATGTTTTTCCGATAAATTAAAATAGACAGTAACATATAAGTGAGATAATCTGATCATTTTGAACATTTTTCTTTGAAATACACATTTTAATTAGGATTTATTTGATTTCTCCATCATAAAATAATTTCTTTATTAATCAATGAAAATCAGACATTTAAACTTATTGATAATATACTATAGATTAAAGAAAAATTTATATTTTGTTTGGATTTTCTAATCTTATACAAACAAAAAAGAATACATATATAAGAAAGTCACATTAAAAAGATGGCTGAAGACAACATGGGAGTTATACTAATGGTTGCTTAATAACCAATAATATAAGATTGTTCTCACGTCGATCGTTCTGCCTTGTCGTCATCTGTCCTTAATAGTTAGAAAAAAAATAATTGAAAAAGATCCATTTGCAATTTTCACAATAGATCTTCATTCTTTCCTATATATATACAAACAAATAGTTTGACATATATTTAAACTTGTTTTTCGTATAATAATAACATTAATATATTTTTTAGATGTTTGATTCATAAACATTGCATTAGATTTTAATTAAATATGTCGACATGATTGCGCAATATTACATACATATGTACTTTCTTACTCATTTCGTAATATTCTTTTCCATTTAAGTCAAAAATTTCATCAACCTACTCCCAAATAATCAACATCATTTTTTTTGTCTAGTAGTAGAGACAATATGAAACATTTCATCAGACAATTTTTTCTATCATCCTTATTATAAAAGTAAGACAAGAATTTTTTCAATTGAGTTAGTATATAAAATCATATGTGCTTTATTGCGTTAAAATATAACGACGAAAAATTGTACAAAGTTAGAAAACGATACATATAAAAGACATAGGAAAGATAATTATTCAATGACAACTCAGACATCAAATGAGATAAATATAAGTGTGAGTGTTATTTAATATTTGATTTTTCAATTGTTCATCTATATATTGAATATATTCTTCATAAAATTCGTATTTATTTAGGCTACTTCAGATCAGTCGTCTAATATGGCGACAAACGATGGAATTCAAACATTTGCTGAAACAGTAGTTTCAAAAATAACGAATGAGGTTGATGATCAACAATCTGATGCAATACGACAATATTTATCAAAGAAAACAGCATGGATCAGTCCAAATGAAGAACAGTTCGATGCACTTGTTAATTTATTAAAAAAACGTCTTGATGAAGGTCACGGTGAAATAATTCTTGAAATAGGAACAGGAGGTAGTTCATTGAAAAAAGAAAAAGAAAAACGAGAACAATATGATTAATAGAAAATTTCTTATTTTTTTTTTTTATTGATTTTAGTAACTGATGCTGAATCTCCTGGTTTACTTATTGATGAAATGGAAGCATCAGTTGCTACACTTAAAAGTATGCAAGCTGTACTTGATTCTGAAGTTCAACTATTACGTGAAAAATCAGTTTCAAATAATACACGTTATATAAATGAATATCTTATTCGAAGACATATTGATCAAGAAGATTTTATGGAAGTGAGGTAAAAAAAAAAGAAAATCTTTATTTACTTTTTTTTTTTTTTTATTATAATTAAAAATTAATTATTTAAGAGTGGCGGTAACTGGTAATGTCGATGCTGGTAAATCAACACTTCTTGGTGTTTTAACACATGGATTACTTGATGATGGTCGTGGTATTGCACGACAAAAACTTTTTCGACATAAACATGAAATGGAAACTGGTCGAACATCATCTGTTGGAAATGTAGGATTTTTAAAAAAGAAACATTTTTTGTTTTTTAAAATACGATTTTTTTTTAATATCGTAGGATATCTTAGGTTTTGATGTTCAAGGTGCGATTGTTAATAGACCGGATACTCATGGTAATCAAGCACTTGATTGGACTGATATTTGTCAAAGATCTGCAAAAGTAAATAAATTTTATTTTTATATTAATAAAAAAAAAAAACTTTTCTTTGTTAGGTTGTAACATTTATTGATTTAGCTGGACATGGTAAGAAATAATTTAATTTTCCATCAATGAAAATAATTAATTAAACTTTTATTTTAGAAAAATATCTAAAAACAACTGTATTTGGTATGACAGGTCATGCTCCTGATTATGCAATGTTAATGGTAAGCAAAAAAAATAGGCATTAGTGCAGTTTTTTGTTTTTAATAAACATTTTTTTTTTTCTTTTTGTATCTCATTTAGGTTGGTGCCAATGCTGGTGTGATCGGTATGACAAAAGAACATCTGGTAAGTTAATTAACTATTAGATTTCTTTTTTTGTGAAATATGATCTAAACAGAGTGTTGAAATGTATAAGATACTAATTTTCACCTCCTATAGATCATGACAGATGTTGTTTATATACGATAATAGACTGTATATCTTATTGTAATAAATGAATTACATCGTGTTAGACATTATAATTGTCGAGAGTGTTTATGTTAATCATTTTTTTTTTCATTTGGGAATATTTGTTAGATTTTATCTTTATTATTTTAATTAAAAGGGATTAGCTCTTGCACTTGGTGTACCTGTTTTTGTTGTTGTTACGAAAATTGATATGGCACCAGCAAATGTTTTACAAGAAACGATGAGACTATTACAAAGAATTCTTCGTTCACCCGGTGTTCGAAAAATTCCATTATTAGTACAAAATAATGATGATGTTATAACTTGTGCAAAGAATTTTGCCGGTGAACGATTATGTCCAATTTTTCAAGTATCAAATGTTACTGGTGAAAATTTAGATTTATTAAAAAAATTTTTAAATCTCTTAACAACTCGAATGGAAACTTGTATTGATGAACCAGCTGAATTTCAAATAGATGATCTTTATGCAGTACCTGGTGTTGGAACTGTTGTTAGTGGTACAACATTAAAAGGTATTATTAAACTTGGTGATAATTTACAATTAGGACCTGATCCACTTGGACAATTTAAAACAGTACAAATTCGAAGTATGTAACAATAAATATTTCATAAACAGGAATAAGTATATTTGTTTATTATTATTTTTTTTTTCTTTGTATTAGGTATTCATCGAAAACGAATGCCTGTTAGAGAATGTAAAGGTGGACAAACATCATCATTTGCATTGAGAAAAGTAAGAGAAGATTTATTTTTAATGTTTTAAGTAAAATCTTATTTATTTATTTATTTATTTAAAGATCAGAAAATCTGAACTTCGTAAAGGTATGGTTTTACTTTCACCGGCTATTCCAGCTATTGCTTATTGGGAGTTTGAGGCTGATCTACTTATATTACATCATCCAACAACGATCAGTACTAAATATCAAGCAATGGGTAAAACAAATATTATGTTGTTTTTTTTTTTCTTAAATTATTTATTTTTTTTTCGTTTCAGTTCATTGTGGTAGTATTCGTCAAACTGCAACGATTATATCCATGTCTGTTGAGCATTTACGTACTGGTGATCGTGCTAATGTTCGTTTTCGTTTTATTAAATCACCTGAATATCTTCGTGTTGGAATGAAACTTGTCTTTCGTGAAGGACGTACAAAAGCTATTGGCAGTATATCACAACTCTATCCACCTGTTGCTCCTCAACCGTCAAATACTCGAGGAAAGACAAGATTACAAACGACAACGACAACGACAACAACAACAACAACAGGAGCAACTGCAAACTCAATAACAACAGATCCATCACAGTCAAGTAAACGTAATGATGTTACTGAGGATACTAATCGATCAGGTAACAGACGTTCAAAACAAATGAAAACAATGACAGATTCTACTAATGATCAAAACATGAATGTAGATAAAAATGCTACTTGATAATGAATATCAATAGTTTTTTTTTATCGTACAACGATGGCATATAAACAAAAAAAAGACAGAAACTGTAAAATTTTGATCAATAGATCAGTGTGTTTGTGTGTGTTATATGTTGTTTTTCTTTTGTTTTTTCTTGCATTTGTACATAAATATTCATTTTGGTATGATGTTTCAAAAATGTATTGTTCTTTCAACTCTATACTGCTGGTGGTTGGTTATATATATGTATGCATGTTGATGTTCTTTTCGTTTTGTTTTTTTGTTTCCGTTTTTTTTTCTGTGCCATTATGACAAAACATGTCTGATGTGTATAAGAGTTTGTCGTAGGTTCAAAAATTAAATCAAGAAAGAATTCTGTTATTATTCTACCTCTTTAGAAGATTTCACTTTCCAGAGTCATAAATCATTCCAACTTTTGAAAGTGCATTCAACTTTTCATGCAAAAGTTTACTTCACTAATAATTTAACACGAAATTCTTTTCTTTGTGTCAAAAAAAAAAAAACCTATTCATGTTCTATGTTGAAATCAAAAAAAAAAACTAACGTTTTATTTACTATTGAAATGTTAACTTTATGAAATATTTGGTTTGTTTTTAGATAGTTCATATTTCGTTGAAATCCATCGATCTAAATATGATGATCATTAAGAAGTTTTTTCGAATGTGATTATTTCATATTTAAATCTTGGATATGATTGTTTGTGTATCAATCAATGTTATCATCTTGGTTGATATTTATCTGTATGTTCTACTTCGGTTATTCTATATTGAAATCGGAACTGATTTAAAACATACATGTGATAAGTCAACATCTTTATACGATTAGAATAGATGTAAAAGTATGTTAATCAAATTATTGTTAAGTACAGGTAATGATGTTATGTATCGAAAACGTTTGATATTGTTCAAAGTCGATCAAAATCAATCTTTCTCTCTCTTCTTGGATCGATCAGTTAAGTAAACAAATTTCTTGTATCATGAATAAGAATTAATTTTTCTTTTATATCGACGCAAATAGTTTTTGTTTAAAAGACGACAGTTACGAGGACGCTGATCACAATGATTCATCATTTTTTTTTGAGTTCATATTTTCAGTACGCAGATAGAAGACACTTTGAGACTAGAATATAGTCGGATGAATATGAGTCCATAAATCTTTTCTACAGAGTTAGGAGAATTTTGTTGAATTTGATCATTGAATATAAGACACTTGATAATAGAATTTTTGACTTGACATTTCGTCTATAAGCAGGTTTGGTTTATTTTAAGAATATTTTAAAAGTTTCAGTCAGCATGGTTGCTTCCTTCTTGAGATATTTTCTGTTGAAAAACTTTCGATTGTGACTTTTTGTCATATCAAATCGCTTCTTGAGCTTTGAATATTCCGAAAAGAAATCAATCGTGTTGACTGAACCTTAGAAAGACTATTCTCAAACGGAAGGAGACCTTCTTATTCAGACAATTTTAAGTCACAAGTTCCATTATTTGTCTTAGGCCCTATGATTAATTCCAGAGAAAGTCTCATAACTCTACATAGAAAACTTATGGACTCAAATTAAGAGGAAAAAAAGGGGAAAATTCTGTAATTCACTATGCTCCATTAATATGTCATAGTTATTCTCAGGAACGTTTTCGCTATTTCAAATCTACTATCAACGTTCGTTATGATTATAAAAATTGAACTCATATTAGTATGTTTGTGACAGCCATTCATGGTAGTCTTGAAATACGGAATTTTTCCTTTGAGTCACATCTGTTTGAGTTTATTCTAATTTCGAGATCTTCTATTTGCATGTCAAAAATATAAACTCAAAAGTGATGAATTACTTTCAATAATTCTTTCATTAGTTGATTAAGTTTAATCTAACTATATCATAATACAATAATTGGCGTTGTTTTCGTAGTAGAATATATCTTGTTTTTTTTGTACGTAAAAGAAGGCAAATTAAAGTGTTTATGAAGAATTTGACAAACTTGACAACATTCTTCTTTTTTTCTTTCAAAATAATAAAAGTAATGATGTTGACAAGGTACAACATTTTCTCTGCCATATTTAGAGACCTTATAACATACATTTTAAATTGCTTCTGCATTTCTTTTTCGATACTGAATACCTTTGTCTAATATAAACATAGTGATGATATGTTTTTTTTGTCTGTTGAAGTGAACGTGAGAATATATAAGAAAATGTTAAATATGTTATTCAAGATATTCTTATTTGAAAATTATGTTATTTTAGTCAGTTATGTGTTTTTATGGGAGAAAGTCGTTATTTTGTTTTTACGAAAATCAAAAAAATAAAATAATGTTGGTGGGATTAATCATGCGAACTGAATCAGTCTTTTTCTTTCCCAGATATTAGAATCTGGTTACTATGATCGACATGGCTTGTTGTTAAGATATTTATTTAGTTGAATAAATTTCTAAAAGAATTATCTAATATAAGAAACTTGAATCTAATCACTTCGCCTGTTAGTCTTTGTTTGTTTAAAATCGATCGTTGAAATTTAATTGAAACCATTGATTATTGTTCGTTGTATTGTTGGTAGAGGTTCATAAATATCTCTGGGTGTATAATACGGTGGATAGGCCGGTGTTGATACTTGTTGTTGAATTTTTTTTTGTTGACTCTGAGAGAAACGACGAGGCCATTGAAATGCATTACGTTGTTCACTTGTACCAAATGATCGTTGTCCACCATTTAATTTATCACTATCTACAACAAGTTGATGAAAATATTGACTACGTGCCATACGTTCTCGTTTTTGTTGTGTATCCGATAGTGTATTAGGTTTACTGGGAAGATGTGGTGGCATAAGTGCATGTACTGGAATAAATGAAGGATAATTTGCATATCGTTCTTGATATTCAGTATCTTTTAAAACAGAATGATTTGCTGATAAACGTGATGTAGATCTATTATTAATTGGCATTGGAACATAATCAAAAACATGACTTGGTTGTGCATGAAAGACATATGGCCGTTTTGGATGATGATTTGCAAAGCAAAGACGATATTCAGATGAAGACAATGTTGTATCCGGTTCAGTGTTCAAAGAGAGACACGAACGAGTTAATGATGATCGTATAGAATCAATTTTTGGTAAAAATACATTAGGGTTATAATCTTCTCGACGTGGTGACATAAAACGTTCGCGATATTCGGTTGCTGAATCTTAGAAATTAAAAGAAAAATTCTTTGTTTTTTTTTTTTGTTGTTTTCATACATAATTTATTCTTATTTTTCTGTTGTCCATCAAATAGAGATAAATAGAAAGGAAAATATTCTTACATGTTTGATCGTTTTCCAAAGAAAGTACACGTTCCATATTCAATGGCATTATTGTTTTTCTTTTGATAGTTTTCCTGTTTTTCTCTTTTTCAGTCTCGAACCTCTTGTGTTGTTCAGTTTCTTCGTTTAAATAAGTTTGACTTCTTTCTTTTATTGCATTTTATTGCAGTTTAAAAAACAAACACAGAAAAAAAAAAACATGTAGAAAAAAAGAAAAGTGCTGTTGAAATTAAAAAAAAAAGAAGAAGAATAGAATAGAAAGCAAAACATGTATAAGCTTGTACGAGTAGTTTGAGTATAATGTTTATTCTTTGTTTGACAAACAATGTATGAATCGATCGATAGTTGCCATTCATTGTTTCGAAACGTTTTCAGTAATCATGACTGGTAGTGAGATACAAACAAGCTCACGGCCTTTACCATCGATTAAATAGTAACGCATTTGATTGACTTTTACCTATAAAATCATACATATATATATATATATATAAAATAAATAGAAATCATATAAGAAAAAAAAATTTGATTATACATACTGATGGATAAGTTGGACTAACAAACATACTATTATAGTATGTGTATTGAACACCATTTTTAATTGGACAGCCGAGTTGTTCACAAACATCCGAATTAGGTAAAGCAAAATCATGATCGATCGTACCAATTGTTGCTACTACTTTAGCTCGTACTTTATGTGCTTTTTTCTCTTTTAAGAAAAGAAAAAAAAAAGCAGAAATTTTGTTCGTTTTTAGTTTTTTTTTAAATTCTTACTTAAATTAAATGTAAATTCTAGCCGAGCATCAGTATCCTTATAAAACGTACAATATTCTTCTGTGCAAGGAGCATTTACAGAAACTTTAATAACATCACCAGAACTGGGTGCTAAAATTATCAAAAATAATAATTAGTTGAAAAAAAAATAGATCCATGAATGTTTATACATACGTGAACATTGTTTAAATGGTGCTTGTAATGAAGCAGCAAAGGTAGTTAAAATAAATGTAAAATATAAGAAAATTGTAAAATAACTAGCTGCCATTTTTTAAACAAACGTAACTTATAAGTACTTGTAGATGCGTTATGGTGAAGGCTAACTCGACTGACTAACAAATATCTATTTGTGCCTAGTATTTATTCATTCTATCCATATGTATAGACCCTCAATATCATTTTATATCTTCCGACAATCGAACCATTCGATTACGTTCTTTTTTCTTTTCTTCTATTCGGTATATCTATGTGTCAGTACATTTCAAATCAGCAAATAATACAGTTTGGCCTTTATAATAGATAGAGAACAAACAAGATAAGCGTCATAAACGTATCTATTCTCTTGAATTTATGTATATGGGATAATAATAAACACTTGAAAAGAAATCAAGGATCTTTGATTATTCATTTATTTACTTACATTTTGATCTATAGTTAGAAAACAGAATGTTCTCAATTGTACTAAAAACAAAAAGAAAAAAAAATAATATTTTTATATTAAATATATAAAATCTGCCACAAAATCTTTCTAGATGGATGATGCAACAGCCGCTTTAGCAGGCCATACAAAAAAATATAATATACCATTGAGTCATTTTGAACATAAATATATACAAAATTGTACAGATGGAAAAGAACTTGAACGTATATACAAAGAATTAACGTAAAATCATACATAAATTTAAATGTCTTTTCTTTTTTTCATGTTGAAAATTATTTTTTAAAAACTTATAGAGGTGGTGAAATAGGTTCATTTCCTGCTTTAGAACAATTAACACTTGATCGAATCAAAGATATAAAACCGAACAGGTACAATTTTTTCTATTGTTTATTTTCTTTCGAAAGAAAAAAGAAATAAATCCATTATTTTCCAGTCAAATCCTTCGAAAAGATAAAGCTCCACTAGATAAATCAGCTTTACCCGATGATGAACGTAAACAAATGGATGATTTTCTTAAGCAAATGCTAGAAAAAAAGAGAACATCGTCTATTATTGCTAAAGATCATCAGAATAATGGTTTTGATTCAGTACCAATCCGTTCCAAATCTATAATTGTAAGTTATCAATTTATAAGATTTTTATTGATTATTCATATTTAATCATGATTTGTCTTTCTTTTTTTTATTCAAAGAGTAAAACAATTACTCCAACGACATCGGCACCTGTGATAAACAGTAATGGTAAACAGAAGCGAATAGTACCGAGAAGTTATGATGAATGGGGGAAGTAAGTCTCTTTTAATAGACACGAATTTTTCTAAATGAATTTATACTTTAAATATTATTTTAGACTAGACCAGCAACTTGATAAAGAATTGAATAGTGATAATGAAGATGATGAAGTAGATGATGAGGATGATGAGGATGAGAATGATAACAATAATAAAGATGAAAAGACAAGTTCGTTTCTTGATATATATATATATACTGTGGTCAAAATTGAAATTTTAGTTTTAATTAAACAAAACCGAAGTTTCTTTGTTTTTTTCAATGAAGAGAGAAAAAGTAAAATCATGATGACAAAAAGTGTGGATGTGAAGCAGGGATGAAACAAATCTAGAATAGGTTTAAATCGTTATCAAAACAAACTATTTCTATTATTTTTTATTCAAGACTAAATCAAAATTCAGTTAGTAAAGATATTGGCCCTAAATCCAAAAATCTTGTCCTGATTGTGGTGCATCTCCAGTAGAGTAGAAGGATGTTAATGTCACCTTATCTTACCAAATCCTTTAAGATTTTAGTCATTTAAGACCAAATTCAGATATAAGTCCAAGACTTTGTGTTTTTTGTATACTTATTCAAGTGTGGATGTCTCGTTTTGGAGGTGAATGTGAACAAGAGCGAAGTCTCCATTCCACCCACATCTCATATATATTCTGTTGATAAATTTTGTGAAATAAAACAAAAACTAGTTGCTACTTTTATTATTTATCTTTATTTACCTTTTTCTGTTCATTCATTCTTTCATTCAGAAACAAATTTCAATTTTGACCACAACAAATTCATGATCATTTTTAATATATTGTTTTCTTTTCTTTTCTTTCTTTTTCATAATTAGCAAATAAATCTCACCCTTCGAATCCAATTCATGAGAAAAGTCAACGTCTTCAAATGGCTGAACAACATCGTCTAAATGGAAATACTGCGTTTAAATCTAATAATTATCAACAATCAATTGATTTATATACAAAAAGTATTATGCTTGATAATACAAATCCAATGGCTTATATGAATCGAGCGATAGCCTGTTAGTAATCAATCTATAGTTTTCATTAGTTATCAATTCTTTTCGTATTCTCTCTAGATTATAAACTGAGTAATTATGATGCATCGATTAAGGATTGTTCTCAAATATTATCAACTAATCCACATCATATTAAAGGTTTTTTTTTTTTTAAAACCATAAAAATTTTTCTATTTAAAAAACTTATATATTTTATTTTATAGCATTGTTTCGTCGAGCGTCATGTTTAATTGCTAAACAACAATATGATGAAGCTAAACATGATCTTGACGTTCTTTTCACTGTCGATCAAGAAAATAAGGAAGCAAAAGTAAAAATTCTTTTTTTGTCTATGAAGAATAACAAATACATTGACAAAATCGAGCGAACATTTCTAAATATTAATCATTACTAAAACGAATCTCTTTTATTTATCTAAAATTATTGATCAAATCGATTAGAACAAACTAATAAAAATAAAAATTTGTGTACTTTTAGGAACTATTGAAAACAATTCCAACAGTTCAAAAGACAAAAGGTGTTCGAATACCTATTACTGAAGATGATGATGATGATGATGATGAAGAAGTTAATACTCAACCATCAATTGTAAGTTAAATAACTTTATTCAATTATATTTAATAAAAAAATAAAAAAAAACTTTTTTAGCCAACACCAGTTAAAATTCCAATCTTGGAAGTCGAGGAAGAAGATGAAGAAGAAGAAGAAGAAGAAGAACAACAACAACAACAAGTACAAGAATCAAAGATAACTACCAATGAATCAATTCAATCGATGAATATTGATATTCCTCAAAGGTAATCAAATAAATTTTAAAAAAGTTTTCTTTTATTTAAAATATTTTCTTTTTATTTTAAGATCAAATATGCATTCACGCCCATGCATAGATCCTGAAGATGCTTCTCCAGCTATGTCTGATAATCATTTTCAACATTGTGATGACATAAATCAATATCAACAAAATATTCATTCTCAAATATCATCTCTAAATACTGGAGCTGGTCTTAACGATGATGATGATGATATGGCACTTGGTGATGAAGCTAGTGCTGATTTTACAGGAAATATGAGTGATGATGATGGTCATATTTCACCTAGTTTAAATGTTTCACCAACAATGGACGATGATGATAATGATGTACCAGCATTAATCGAGCATAAACCATTACGTACACCACCATTAACACCAACAAAACAAACAATAATTAGGAGTACAATTGATGAAAATATTGTATATACAATGAATGATAATAACAATCGACAACAATTTTCAACTATATCAAATATTGATCATACTGATTTATATGATAATAATAATATAACAACAGTATCCAGCAAATATTCATCATATGAACATACTTCAGTAAGTTATTGATCTATCCTCTTAGAAAAACTATAGTTGCAAGTAATATTTTTATTAATCACTGCTATAAATTAATATTCTTACAAAATTAATCATAGATTTTGATAACATAAAGATAATTTCATCGTTTGATTCCTGTTCCTTTTTCATTCTATCTTTCAAATTTATTCTAAAATTTGACTTTCAATTAATATTTCAAGTATTGTCATAGTACTCATCTTCTAATATATAAAGAAGAAAGTTTGTTTGTTTGTTCTTTACGTATTTGATCTCTGTAAGAGCCAGTGCAACCAAACTTTGCGTGGAATACCCTTACGTCTAGGGGAAGGTCAACGACTACTTTTTACCGAAAAAAATCGATCCTCCGTCTTCAAAAGGCCAGACTATGTATCTGACCAATGAGATTGCAGCATACGGTAGTATAGAAGAACTACTTAAGAGCACTCCGTGAACAAACAGAAGACAAGTCACCATAGGTTTTCAAGGGCGATGAGTTGGAATCTGGGGTCCATTTGCCTGGAATCCTATTTGTTGGCTGAAAATCAATAGCAATTCAGCCGCTCAGAAACCACCTAATGAAAATTGCGTTTGCACGAAAACAGGCCGATAGGAGTTTTTAGAGGGGGCGAGTTCGAATCCAAGATCAATTCACCTCGAAATCCTATTAGTTGACTTGGAACCAATAGGAATTAAGCTGCTAGGAAACCAGGTAATCTAAATTGGATTTTCGCGGAAACAGTCCTCTAACGGTTTCTACACATTGTGAGTTCGAATCCGATGTCCATTCGCCTCAAAATTCTTCGGGTTAGCCGGAAATCAACAGGAATAGAGTTTTCTGAGAACGAATCACTAGAAGTCGAAGTTTTGGGAAAAGAAACCTCACTGAAGGGTCGGGAAAAGGGCATTAGGAATCTTAGGTCTATTGATCTCGAAACTCTATTAGACCGGCCGGGATCTTAATAGACGATCCGTGTCAAGTACAAATCGAGTTTTGAGGAAACTGTTGTCCCAGAGGTCGTCTGAGACCGGGATTTCGAATAAACAGTTTGTCAGATTCAAAAGTCTGTGCGTCAATCATTAGCTCAAAGAAATAGACTTCTTACGTTGCTGAAAAAGGTCTCTGTCGCACAAAAAACTGTCTGTCTTTGCAACAAATCAGAATTCAGCCTGGTTCGAGCGGTACAAAGTACGATTTACCGTCCTAATTCACTCGATCAATAGAGATTATGAAAGTGAGGTTCTAGACCAATTAGATTTGTTGTTGTGCTTTGTTTCAATCAAAGGGTATTTATTTTCTTAGGCTGTCTACGAACAGATTTCCCAGCGGGGCTCTCCACTGGTCAGGATTTTCTACATGTTGTCGAGCCCAATGCGTATTTTTCATGCATATATTAAGATTAAAGTTTCTCGAGCAATGCCAGGTACTTCAGCTAGTGTATCATATTCGTAGGTTGAGTGTTGTCGTAAGTTCGAATAATATCAATGTGCACAATGCTTCATTCAAGGCAAAAAAAGACACTGAATAAAATCAAAATGAGGGTTGATAAATGTGTAATTATTTATACATCTTATTTGATTACTAGATAACCAATCGTAAGCTTCTTAATGAGTGACGTGGAATAGTTGAGGACAAAGAAGTTAGAATGCAAGTACATTGACAATATTCGAAATATGTATTATCAAATAATTGAAAGTCAAAATTAACAAAGATAAAGCATGAAAGTCAATTTCAAGCGTTATTATAATAATTATATAACTACTTCTGTAAGAATATTATTTTTTAGGAATAAATATGTTGAAAATATTAGATCTAAATATTTTTCTTCACAGAGAATATTTTAATTATTTATTTGATTGAATAATATTTTTATTAGATATCTTCAAATTCATTTGAAACTAATGAACATTTTCATGCTACATCAACTCAACAACGATCAACAACAATAATTAATTCTTATAATGATCAAATATCAAATTCAAATTTTAGTTCGACTATACAAAATTGGTTACGTGATTCAATAAAATTACAATCAAATAATCGTTCATCAACATTTTATGATAAACCATGGTCAAAATCTTCTCGACCTTCGATACTTAATAGTCTTCAACGTGATATTCAAAAATATAATGGATCAAATGATTTGAAAAATACTATTGAAGCAGCAAAAAAAATGCTTAAAAATGGAGTACTCGGTTAGATTATTGATATAATAATAATTATAAATATTTATTTTATTTTATTTTTATTTTCAGATTATCATAATCATGCAGATCATATTGCTAGTACATTAATTATTTGTGCTAATTGTTATTTAAAAGCTAATCATTATGTACTTGCTATACAATATGCAAGCGAAGCTTTACAATACAATAAAACGGATACAGATGCAGTGATTTGTCGAGCTCGAGCATTTGAAAATGAAAAATTGTATGTTTCGATTTTTTACTACTAGAAAATTGATTTACATGTTTTTGGTATTTTTTTTTTGTAGTCTTATTTTTAGTTATGCGGATTATGCACGTATACCATCTACTGATTTTAGTTATACGTTAGCACAACGTGCATGTGAAAAGTAAATATTAAAAATGTTATACAGAAATATTATTAGAATAAGTTCTTCTATTTAGATTGGCTATTGAATTGAATAAAACAGAAGGTGAAACATGGCGTGAAAAATTACCAAAAGATAATAATGATGATGAACGTTATTTAACATATATAAAAACTAAAGATGATTTTTCAACTAAAAATCAATATGATTGGTATCGAGAACGTGGTAATCAACTTTATCTTGATGCTTGTTTTATTCTTGCTATTCGATGTTATACATATTGTATTGAACTTAAACCAGATGTTGCATCTTTATATTCAAATCGAGCTGCGTGTTATTTAAAAGTATTCGAGGTAAAAATTCTAATTATAATAAAGAACATAATCGAATAAGATCGTAAATCGACCATCTCTCCTTTGATCTTACTTTCAATACAAATAGAAAGATAGGACATGAAATTTTCCTATCGATGTAGCTCGATGATCATGATCGACATATCATTTTCTAGAGCATTAAAAAAATACGTGGATCTACGCTTTTAGTTTTCATTATGTTCTATCTTTCTATTCTATTGAAAGTAAGATCTAAGAAGGATCATCGATTAATGATTTTATTCGATCGTATTTGTAATAATGAAAAAAAAAACTCCAACTTTCTTTTAGCCACAAAAAACAATTGATGATTGTAATAAAGCACTTGAAATAGATCCAGATAATGCACGTGCATTATATCGTAAAGCATGTGCATATAAAATGTCTCGTAATAATCAATTATATGAAATAACATTGAAAAATTTAATTAAATTACAACCAAATAATCAAACTGTTCTTGCTGAATATTATACATCTCGACATGAACAAATACCAAGAAAAATGAGACGACTTCGAACCAATCCAATAAATACGACAACATCTAAATCAGTACCATCAGTATCGTCATCATCTGATATGGGAAATTCAAAATCACCAATAATTATTGAAGAAAATAATCTTTCATATGAAGAACTTGAACAAATTCGTACACAAAAAATAACTTCATCATCAATAAATACATCATATCTATTTGGACAACAATTAAATTCATTAAAACTTAATGATATTAAAAGTCAATGTTCTCTTGTTCTTCGTTTACCAACAAAAGGTTTATTTAAAATAGCTAATTCAGCATCATCAAAATTAGTTGAAGTAATTATTAATGCTTGTCGAATAATGGTTGATGCTGAAAAACGTTATCAACAAGTACATAAATCTTCTATATTACAATTTTCATATATAAAATTTTGTTTTAATATACTTATTGAATTAACAACACTTCCACGAATTGAATCAGCATTATTAATGATTGGTCAAGATTATCGAGCATCACTTGATGATTTACTTTCATATTTTTCTTCGATATCATCAATATTACATGATGTTAACAAATTGGATCGATTACGAAAATAAAACACATTTATGAACTATCTTCTTCTTTCTTTCTTTTTTTTTTTTATTGAACAAAGAGAAAAAAAAATACCAACGAATATTTGTTTTAAACAAGAACACAAACAAAAAAAAATTTTGTTATTAAAAAAAAGAAAAAACAAAACAAATAAAACGGCTTATAATTTTGTCATATTTATTTCATTAATATGAATCGAGATTGATTCATACGTTTACTAAGACCATAAAATGTTATTGAAAAATTTTTTGCTAAACGTTTTTCAATTTCATCTAGTTTACGTACAAGATCAGTAACAGCTCGAGATTTAAATCTTTCTGCTATTTCCTATAAATAAAAAATAAAATAGAAAATAATATATATGTTTATATTCGATTTGAGATTCAACATGGGATGAATATTTACTCACATTGACTTAAGCTCATCTCAAATCGACTAAAGTATAACAGTATAGCCAATATAAAGCATGGTACATGAAATTTTATTTTCAACAAAATTCAACTTCTAATCATAAACAACAAAAAAATACTTATGAATCGTTTGGACGTGAAAGCGATGTGAAAAGAGTATAACTACATCTACACGCTTCGTTGATTTTTTTTCGTTCTATTTGCTTTTGGGTTAGATATTGTATTTTGTTGAAAATAAAATTTTAGGTGTCATACTAGTGAACTTTTGCTTTCATACAAGATGTTTATCAATAGGAGATTAATCATATTAAATTTTCAATTCATTTAAAATTTTGAGATCAATTTTCGATTAGACGTTAACATGTATCTATGAAAAAGATCTGATTTTGATCAATGAAAATTGACATACACGAATATGTGTTTGCATTGGACGATATTTAAGTTCGAATGTATGACAAACTTGAATAAGATGAAGAAGTAATACATTAAGATCTGAGATCATACGATCTTTTGAAATAACATTAAGTTTTTTTGATAAATGAACTAGTTTATCCAATTGAGAAGCATTTAAATAAGAATTAATTTCTTTAAATATATATATATATACATATAAAAGGAATACTTATAAAAAAAAACTTATTTATGTACCTCGTAAATCAATTTCGGTAATTGTTTGTAATTCATGTTTGAGATTTTCTTGTATATCAATTGCACATCGTGTATTATCAATACTTTGAATTAATGCAAATTCTAAATCAATTGCAATCAAATAAAGATCATGACCAAAATTAATTAAATTTGGTTTATTATTTGTTTGTAATAATGATAAAGTCCATTTAATTAAATCAGCATAAGTATTACAATGATCAACTGTTACACGTAAGGCTTCATTTGATGAACGATAAAATTCATTTAATGGTGATATATGACCTGATGTAATAAGTTCTTCATGAATCTTTTGTAATTTTGTGCTATGATATTCAGAACGTGCAAATAAATTACGTAAAGCATTTGTTAAAGAATTTATATAAATATCATCAATTTTTTTTATTGATTTAGGAAGATTACGATGAAAAGTTTTAGCAGATGATTTGATATTATTAGATGGTTCATTTGATGGAGCTGGCAATTTTCTAGTTTCAGTAGCAGCCTATATTATAAATGAAAACTAAAAGTAATTCTATTTTGAAAAGACCTTGTCTTTTTAAATGAAATTTTCGAGAATAAAATTGTATTTACAGAAATAGTTTCTGCATTACTAGTTGTAAGATTTGATGGTGATGAGCTCCTACCAATTGTATCTTCTTCCATTGGTTGATGAACAATGTTTGGAGATATTGTTTTAGCAAATAATCGTTGTGCTTTTGTTTTTACATATTGTGAATCATTTACAAATTCAGCTATTTTACCCATTAAAATTGTATTTGTTTCTTGTTTTAAATCATGTGCTATAGATGGATGATAGAAAAGAAGAGCCGCATTCCAATCTAATTCAAAATTGAGAGTTTGATTTTCATTCATTTTACCTATATAAACAATGATGAATATTAGTATTGAATTCAAATCATTCAATTTACCACTAGAAATACTTTCCGGTCGAATGATTTCAAGATCACCTTGAAATTTTTCACTACTATTTAGAACAAATGATGTGACATTTTTTTCAAAATTTTCTTCATGTAATTCATTTGTTTGTTGTAACACATTCGATATTTCTTTAGCTTTGGTTTCCATATTAAATTGTACATTTGTATTTTGTTCATTGGCAATAGATGGTATTGTTTGCATGTTGTTTAAAATTGTATCATTTGTTGATGTATTCTGTGATGATTCAAACTCAATAGTCGTATTTATTGTATTTAATGTTTGATGATCAGAAAACTTTTGAGTGTCTTTTTCTTGACTTTTTTCTTGTTCGGATAGAAGAGAATTGATGTGTTCGATTGTTTCCTACACAATCAATTTAATCTGGAATTTATTCTAATCTGTTTTGCTCACGAAAGAAGTCTGCCAACTGGTTAATTACTTTTAGAGTCGAAACAATATGCATCATGTAGGCTCTCATAAGCGATGAATACTTTTAAAAGTGTCCCAATCGTTAGCATATTGTTGTGGAAATATCGAATTTTTGCTGTATTTTCATATTTTGACTTGCAATTTGATACAATGATAGACCTTAACGAGAATAGTTTATAGTGAAAAATTCAAATCTTTTGATTTGCTGCTGTTCTGACATATGAATATCGAATCTATCAGCATATCCTAGTGATGTAAGAGACACACTATTAATCATAGTCCTATCTTAGGATAGGAACAATGAAACGAACTGAAACTTTCACAGTAATTTCTTCTAGGTGGTAAAACGTGTTTCGATGCAAAGTTTCAAATCGAAACTCGAAAATGAGTTTTCCTCATGCTCCTGAAGAAGATCATGGCATCAACTTAAAAACTAGTGTTAAAATGTCATATTTTCGCTGTAATACGCTAAGAACCCAAATTTTTTTTCACGATATTCATAAATTATTCGAATTTACATGATTCATGTAGTTCCAACACAAAAGTAATAAATCAGTTGGCAAATTTTTCTCGCTAGAAAAATTAACTAGAAGACTACTTTCGTGCTTTGTGATAATTGTCTTGACTCAACCAGATCACCTATAGATAAGAAGATAGTCAACTATAATTAATTATGCTAAATTTTAATAATTGAAACGCTCACTTTCAGTTTGAGGTTCGGAAACATCCGCCATATTAATTGCATCTGTCGTTATTGGTGTTGCGGATGATAAGACTGATTGATCATGAGCAATGTCTAAAGTGCTTTCTTGTTGTTCTTCTGATTTCGATGCCAATGGAATTGCAGAATTGGATGTCAATTTTTCCTTTCCATCTTTATCAATAGACACATTACTGTTCTTTTTTGTATTATCAAGAGTTTTGACATGCTTCTTTGTTACATGTACTATTGATTGAAACTTTGATTCAGATTTTAGCAAAGATCTTTTTTGTTCACTAACATGCTTCACGGAAGTCACAGCCGTGGCAGTTGGCAACTGATCTTTGATATCTTGTGTTATTCGTTCTTTTAAATTTTTGCTTAGTGAACTGATTGATTTATCAGTAGTACGATGTGTTGAAGGAGTTGGACTGAATATAATAGATTTAGTTTTTGAATGAAGGACATTTGTCTTTGTTTTGACATTATTTTTCGCATTGATCATGTTTTTTTGAATGTTAGATGCAGAAAATTGCAATTTTTGGATATTTGATTTAGTCTTATACCAATGCTTGATACGTTCAGGAAGAATGCTATCGATAAAAACAGATTATAAAATTTTTATAATTGTTTCATTTACAGTATTTAAAAGAAGCTCCGCTATCGAGTAAAACCTACATAAACTTCAAACAACTTGTCTGATCTTTTGAGAATCAATAGAGTTAGATAGCCCTCTAATTGCAAGCAGCAAAGTAAAGTCGATAGGTTATAATACACAAGATTTACGAAGACAACATTGATTTGTCCTTCTAGATCCAGAAAAAAGTTTTTTGACACTTTTTCTGGTTTTCTACTGTTTTAAATATGCCAGCCTCCGTTTTCTTATTGATCAATAAAGACTCGCATGTTTATATCATATCACATATAGAGTACTTCAGTCAGCTTTAATCTTGAGATCTGAATCTTCGTTTGAAGAAAAAAAAAACATCTATGTTGATGTCCTTTAAACGAAGACCGATTAGTCGTTGCGGTTAACCTTTGCGACTACAGTACTTACATATCTATTCTATCAAATAAGTCTACTAATTGTTCTTGTTTTATTCGATCTTCTACATTGATTAAAATTTGATTTATTTCATTGATAATTGTTGAAATTTTCTTTTTATCTGTATCTATTTTAATTTTAGCATCAATATGAATGAATTTTTCTTTTAACATTTGTCGATAGAGTTTATCTGGTAATTCTTTATTTTTCTTTAAATATTTTTTAATTTGTTGAAAAAATAAATTTCGATTAAATTCATCCGATCCATAAATTAATTCATTAAGTAGATCAATAATACGTTCATTATAAAATTTATTTGATACTTTATCCAAATTAATAGTATTATCTTGTTTAATTAAATTTAAAATACGTTGAATACATATACGTATAAATGGAGCTTTCAAATATTCGAGAAATGTCGAATATTCATCAATATTTGCTTCTTCACCAAGATTTATATGAACAATAGAATATAGATCAGCTGCTTTTGATAGTTCATGAATATCAACTTTGCTAAGATTACGTGTTTCGATAAAGTATGCCATACCTATATAAAAGATAAAGATTCTAATCAATGATAGAAAATTTTAAAAAAACCCAATCGATTTTGAATTTGTTCCAGTGAAATCGATGATTGAGTTTGAATATAATGATTGATATTTATTAATGCTTCTATAAGTTCTTTTAGAAAATCATTCTCTAGTGGAACATCTTTCATATATTCAATGACTGCACCTAATCCATTTGTATCAATTTTTTTCATTAAACTCAATGTTATTGTTTGATTTAATTCACCAACTATTGCATTACGTTTAAGAGTGCCTTGTTGTGCTAAACGTTCATAGACTATTTTCAATTCATTATTAGTCTAAAGAACAAAAGAAAGTCATTTGGTCCATAAGAATATAACTTCTTCTTTTTATTTTATTTTTTTTTTTTATTTTCAAATTTTTTTCACTTACCAATGATGTAAGATGATCATGAATATAAGATTCAACAATAATACTATCATGTTCAGTTAATTTAGTTGTTAAACTTGTTTCAATTTTATCAATAAAATCTTTTAATGAAACACCAATAGATGTTTTCATTGCATGAAAAATAGTTTTGATTCCATTGAGATGTGCACGTGTAAAAATAATATTCAATTGTCCAGATATAAAATTTACTTGAGCATCATGATCATGATTCACTGTACTTGTATCAATATTTTGAATTGTTTCAAGATCATGAATTAACATGGTCAAATCCGATGCAGCTAAAAGAAAAATAATAAAAAATAATGAGCACATGACCAACTTACGTAATCGACTAATACGATCTTTCATTAAAATATTAAATACAGTTTGATCATGATCAGATATATCACCTATCAAAAAAAAAAATAAAATAAAATGTAGTATTAGAGTTTTACTCGACGAAAAAGATCAATGTTAAGTTTTTTTTTTGTGTTTGATATTGCCCAACTCAATTCTATTATTTATTTCGATTCGTGTAAGGTGTTTACCAGATTTATCTTCTAACTTTAATAACTGTTGATGTTTAGTTTTTTTAATGTTTTCATTATATGACTTTAATAGTTCCATTGCTAAACGATATGTATTGTCTTTTTCAAGTAACACATTAATGACAGTTTCAATAGAAGTCAGATTGGTTTTCATAGCTACTTGTTCAAATGCTTTTTGAATTTCTTGTAAAACCTGCAAGAAAAAAAAAATACTAGCAGGTACTCCATTACCAATGATAGTCGCCATATTTTCTTCATGTCTCCTCTAATTTTCATACTTTTGAACTAAACTTCTTTTAAAAAAATCTAGCGTTTAATACTTTGAAAATCATCTATAAATGGGTATTATAGAAACACAAGGCAGCAAAATAGTACCATAGTAATACTTTAAAACATACAACATCTACAACTTGCAAATAAACGAAATACAGTTCTTCTATATATCTTTTCATGTAAGGAACAACAACGTATAATAAGAGAACCGTAAAAGTATGAGCGTATGTCGATATCTTCTTGAACTTTGGTCTTCATGTACTCTCGTACTTCTAGTAGTCTAGAAAACACGCGAGGATGTTATTTCTCCCTTGTTTTTCATATCGAATTATATATACAAATTTAGACAAAATGTATAATCTGTTTTGTAGAGCTTTAAAAGATCCATCTTATTAGCATGTTTAAGCAGTTTTATAACAAAAATAAACATTATTTATTTCAAATAAGAAATCCGTTTTATATTAGTTAAAAACAAGAGTAACACTTATTTTATGCAGTTAAGTTTTGTTATCAAAATCCTTGAACATCCTAATAAGATAGATCATTTGAAGCACTACAAAATGGATTGCACAATTTATCTATATAGTTTGATACCAAAACACATGAATACAGAACAACTTTATTTTGTATGTTTGGAAGTTGTTGATGTTGCATATCCTTAACATTACTATAGTAATTATTTTGCTTTCTGTTATCTCTATGATACTCATTTGTATATGGTTTCATTCCAAATCTATGAGGACAGAGACGATATCGAGAAAATATGGAGACTCTCGTTCTTTATAGGTCATCCATGATCTTTTTAATCTATGGCATTGTTTTTATTTTGAATGATTCAGTTTAATAACCTGTACAAGTTTAGGAATACCACCAAATTTACTAATCAATTGAACATTAGCCAATTCATCATAAATATTCATAATTTGATTTTTGTTATGTCGACTTATGATTTGCATTAAATCTGTAATTAATTTTAAGTCTTCATTATTTAAATTTTTTCCAACATTTGTATGAATTTCTTCAATTATATCATTTAGTGATAATGGTTCAATATTATCATAATCATATTTATAATCTTCATATTTACGTCTTTTTTCACGTTGTTTATTAAGAATTATATTCATTTCTGATTTTTTATATTTTATTTCATTATTATTTTCTTCATCATTCCATTCGAAACTAAGTTGTTCATCTTCTATCATGTTGGATAATTTAGGTTCATTAGATAAATTCATCAATAATTCATTGGGTAATTCGAATGCTTTGCGTAATATTTCAATATTGGCTTTCATTAACATTTGCTTAGTACCTAGACGTTGACGAACAATTGAATTTGGAATTTGAACATCGGGTCCTATTATGCATGATCGTGTATTGAGTTGTTGCTCTTCGAGTGTGTAAATCCCTAAGAATATATTTTTCATATATATATATTACTAAAAACGAAAAATATACACACGATGCCATCCTCGTCGAATATGTTCAGGTAAAGTACAACCTATTCGATTTTCATCAAGATACTTTTTAACAGTCAAATGGTAACTAGAGGCCATTAACTAGAAAAAAGAAGGCGGCTGATATTCATTAGCATATCAATGACATTTGAATATTCGTAACTATGCATTTTTTCTCAATGTTCTTCTTGATAGACTTTTTTTTCATTAGAAAAAGAGATTTTCGAATTTTAAATTAGTACAAAACTTTGATTCATCACTTATAATTGTTGATATTAAAAGTAAAAATTTTGTTGCAAAAATTACTCTTAAGCATTTCATTTTTTTAAATATCCGTTGTTATTATTATGTCATCAAAACTATTCGTCTTGCCATTATCTTTTAAGGATAACGTGAAAAATCCTATTGAGCTATCGAAAAATTCTTTATAAAGAGCTGCTAGTAAGAGATTGGATAAACGGAACAATAGAAAAAGAAATTTCTCTATAGATTCTTTATAGTCATATTCTTTTTCAATGGAAGTTTAAGAGTATTAAAGATAACAAAACAACATTATCATTCTTGTTTAATATAATCATTTGTTTAAGAATATAGGAAATATAATGATGCTACTCAATGGAAATGTTTCAGTAATAGTATCATCGATTTCATTATTGCTGTTTTTGATTTCTTTTACGATTATATAAATCTTAGTGAATGTTACTGATCTATGAGACAATTTAAGGTCTTTAATCTATTCGAACGTTGTTATGTGACTACTGTTGGTTCTTTTGCGACAAAGTTTGTTCATTCTTAAATAAAAACATTATCATATCAGCTCAGTCAATGACCTAGTAGTTTTGGCATATCTCTGATTACTGACAAAATCATTATGATCATCATCATAGGTTAATGATTTTTGTAGTTACTAAATTATAGAAAAGTGAGACATCAATGATAACAGCATCGGATACTACCTCGGTAGTTAGTTGTTCTAATCTAAATCATTCATATCGTCTTCTTATTTCTGTACAAAGCATAGATTTTTATTGATTAGATTTGATATTCTTTTCAAGTGCAAACTCATTTGATAACAGAATCTACGAATCTCATAATTGGCAAAATTTTCGATCTACAAAAATTATTTCTATCGAAACATTTAATGTAAAATTATCGTATTCTATAAAATTATATTTGAAAGGTCGTTAATGAATCGAAAATTGCTACCGGCATAATGATCATTAACGATCTACAATCAAACGAGAAAAGCATTATTTTAAACAAAATCCATTGTGATATTCATTTGCATTTCAGTAGAAATAACAATGATTCCATCTGCTGTTTTTACACTAAATAAAAAATACCATCTTTAAATCGTACTCAAACCTTCGATAATGATTGACAGTGCATAAATCTTTATAATTTATTCTATTGTAGCTAGCTAGCTCATATTTGAATGCTTATATGGAACGCTTTCCTGAGACTGAAATACATTTCATTCTTTTTTCTTTCTTATTCTTAAACCTCAGTTCATATATTTGAACTATTTTTCATATCAATTTATAGGTTCTATAAAGATGTATTCGATAGTAAGATGCGTACTCGTAACAAAAATCGATGATGTTTCGGATATGGACAGAATGACTGATCTAAGTTATGAAGAATTTCGATTGAACTCAACCTACATAGATTAACGATACTTGGCATGGTAGCTTGAGGGTTTGGGTGTGGGTGTGGTTGCCGGATATAGGTATGAAGTAAGGATCCATGCTTCCATCCAACCCGCACCCCCTATAACAAAAAAATATCATAGAATAAAACCTCTATCTGTTTTGTTTGATGATTAAACTCGTATGTGTATATGCTTCTTGAGTAAAAAACCAGGACAAAAATATTTCTTATGTTTTTTTTGAGATAAATAAATGATTATTCAAAACGTTCATGTCATAATAAATCTTCTTAATAATTTCTCTACGTTGTATCTTTACCTGCGAAATATCTTTCAATTTTAATGCAAATCAGATACTTTAACAACAAGATTATTAGACAGAAGTAATTTTGATCGATTATATGATATTACATCGGGAAGATTGATAATTCAACAGTTGGATCCTCACCAAAACTTCCACTTAAAACAATATCAGATATATATAGCTGAATAAAATACACCTTCTACAAATGATAATCATTTATTATTTTATACATTACCATCTCAAAATAATTCTTATCGAAATCGAACATCATCAAAACACTATGAGATCAGAATCAACAAAAAAATTCTCATTGAAAGATAAAAATTTCTATTAATTTGGAAATACAAAAATCTTTTTATTCAAGTCAAATAAATCCTCTTGATAATAATGATGATAGAAGTAATCCAACGTATTGACGAAAATCAATTGGTGATTTGCATCGTCATCAATTGAGGGTGTGAGGGTGGGTGTGGGAGATGTGGCATCTCTTAGAGAGATGTGATGAGAGATACGGTATCTCTTGTAGAGATGCGATATCTCCTTAAGGAGTTTGGGAGAGTAAAAAAATATCATTACTGTGTTATAATTCAATATTATGTTGTAGTGTAGTTAGTATATGTAACATCTCCGTGGAGATCTCTGAGATTCCCGATTTCCTGGATCTGTGACACCACTCAATTAAACATCAATCTTATTTTCTTGATTTTCTCTTGCCGACATTATTTTCATACTTACCTAGTTCAATTTTATGTCCAGACCCATGTAGATTCCTTGATAAGTTACCATTTAATTCATTTTCACAATTAGCAACAAATGAAAGTGTTTTGATTGCTAAAATGTTAATAATATATTCTCATCATTATTTAATTTTTCTTTCCGTATAAAATTTCCTTTTTTTTTTGTTTTTACAAAATATATGAATTAAGATTGATAGTTTCGAGATATCGAGAAATATTCACTTTTAGAACCTATGTTATTCTTCTATTGACCTTATTTTACACTTGATTTCTAATCGATTAATACTGTCGTTTCACTACTGAATAATCAAAAATGGATTTTGTGTGCCGGATAAGCATAACAAAGTAAAAATCTTTTCTTCAAAGAAACATGTTTAGTTTGCTTTCCATATTCAGGTTCGAGAAAACGGTATCGTTAGCGATCTTAAATTCCTTAATAACTACGTAAAGCATCGGAAGACGGTGCCGTAATCCGTTATCCTGGGTTACGAAAGCTACATCTGAGAAAAACAATGGTCGTTTTCTAGCGATAAAACCGGGTCGTAAAAGGATATGATGTGTTACGATTACGACGAAATAAGGTCAAAGTTAATGTAAGAATTTGTCGTTTCAGACCGAATAAGTCAATATTTCCGACAGTCAGAATAATCGACCTGGGTAGATGACACATGAAATATTTAATTTCACTAAAAAACAAAAAGTCAATATTTATGACATACACGAAATATGGTGGACGTTTGGCAGCTGATCATAACACAATTATTCACCTTTATAGCATTCACATGCAAATGAGTGACAAGAAAACGATTAATCAGTTTTATTTCAAATTTAATCTCTTTGATGAACAATTTTTGGGAGAGTTTATAATCCATGAATACAGGGTATGGGTATGAGTTAAATAAAGAGGAGCCTACGCCATATTCATCCATATTTCACCCTCATCAGATGATAATCTGGATTTGTAATAATAAATAAATACAGTACACTTTATGCGATCAACTACTTTGCTACATCTCTTTTGAAATTTGCCTGAAAAGAATGAAAAAGAACTTCCAATGCAATACATATCGATCTTTTACAAAGTGACATAAAAATTTTAAAAAAACACAAAGTAACCTGTAGTTGTTACCATGATGCTTTTATGATGTGTCATTACTCTGCATTATTTTATCTTAAAAAGTAATTGCATAAGCACGAGAAACTTGTGACACAATATATTATAATATTCAACATAGACTTCAATATTCTAAACATCACAAAAACCTTCATCAATGTCCACCAAAATTATTCCAACTCTTCTTACAATACCGATAGAACTCGTCTATCGAATTCTTGACCATCTTGTCGTTTTCGATATTTTACGTTCGGCACAAAACGCTTGTACTCGTATAAATTCAATTGTCCAAAGCTACCACCGAGATCAGGTGAAATATTATTATATCTAAAAATTTCGTTTTCATCATCTTTAACGCAACTATTCCTTTAACTGAGATATCAATTCATATATCGGCACATTAGAGTATTTTTCTGGCTAATTGCTCGTTACTAGATTGAATGAAATAAAGGAGGGGGGAGGGGGGCGGGTTTGCACGTAAAACGGCTCTAAATAAAAATCATCTCGGAACACCTTATAAAATTGAATTTCATCTTCCTCTAAGTAAGAATAAAGCATCTGGGCCTCCTTCATGTCATGTTTCGAGATCTCTTTGTAACGATATATATATATATATATTTATATAAAGTATATATATATCTCCGTTAATGACAAATGGAGAGGCATATTTACGTCTTTGATCCCATACTGATGGGCATGATGTTTATTCGACTATGCTCTACATCCAAATGTGCCTACATCTAAGTGTAACAATCTAATACATGATATGAGCTTATATAGAAGGATGGAAGAGAAGAGAGAGAATAAATATTACAATACAAAAAGGAGAAAGAAAACAGGAAAGATATAATAGAATATTACGAATTATAAGATTAGTCAACAGTTGTTATAGAAAGGACGTCCATCTTCTTATGTCACCCTTGATGATCCAATGACATTGAGAAGATGTGCACGTTGGTGTCGTATGACGTAATAACAAATAGCATAAATAGCAAAGATGACGTGCTTCTTGGCACATCATACCACCATATCGTTTACATATGAAGGACACGTTTGTATGTACGAGTAGAATAGGAAATGATGCGAAGACAGATGATGAGGCCAAAGATACAACAATGTACGAATGAACAAGTAATGATGACAAGGAGAGAACAGATACACAATTGAATGAGAAGCGCATTACGACAGACAGGAACAAGGTTTCATCATAAAGAGATAAACGAAAGAGGAACGCGATTAAGAACACAGCATATCATTGGTATTACAAGAGCACACTGAGAAAGAAAAGATATCATATAAGATAATATGCCTATTCGCACACTCTTCTCGACATTTCTACCTAGGACAGAAGCATTATCAATATCGGAAACCCCCTCATAGGTTAACCGCGTTACTTTACAAAATCAGTCTCATATTTTCAGGGAAGATAGAGCTTTTCAAGACCTGCAAAATGATCACCAATTGTTAAGGAAAATATGCGCTGCTCGAAAATTTCCAAGGACCACACAGTCCAAGTTCTACAGGAAAAGTCATTGTTGGGATAGTATGCTCCATGAGATCTTTAATATCGCTCCTGATACCATCGTCATTTTCTCCGATCAGATAGAACTTTTCAAGAGCTACAAAATGATCACAAATTCTGAAGTAAAACATGCTGCGCTCGAAAATTTCCAAGGATCACACTGTTCAGGTTCTACAGAAAAACTCATTGTTGGGATAGTATGGTCCATCAGATCTTTAGTATCGCTCATGATACCATCGTCATTTTTTCCTTGCAGATAGAATTTTCCAAGGCCTTCAAAACGATAATAAATTGTGAAGTAAAATATGGTGCGCTCGAGAATTTTTGTGGATCACACTGTCCAGATTCTACAGGAAAACTCCTTCTTGGGATAGCATGGTCCGTAAGATCTTGAGTATCGCTTCTGAAATCATCATCATTTTTTTCTGTGCAGATAGAACTTTTGAAAAGCTACAAGATGATTACAAAATGTGAAGGAAAATATGCTATGCTTGGAAATTTCCAAGGACCACACTGTTCAAGTTCTACAGGAAAATCCATTGTTGGGATAGTATGGTCCGTACGATCCTAAGTATCGCTTCTGATACCATCGTCATTTTTTGTATTCGGATAGAGCTTTACAAGACCTTCAAGATGAACATAA